AGGGTCAAACGGATGCCCATTACGATAGTAAGAGTAGGAAATGGGAAAAGGTACATTGTTTGGTATGAGATAGATGTAGCCCGCGACCACCCAGATGCGGAATATAAATCTCGAGGTGCCTCCTTAGCTTTCAGAATCATCAGCGAACGGAGAAGAGATCTTATCAATATATTCGTTATACTTTGATACCTATCATTATTACGAGCTTTCTTGACCACTCTCCGAGAAACCTTATTGGCCCCAGCTACAATTCGCCTGACTTAGAATTGGCTGCCGCCTAACACCCAGTAGGATTCTTAACACAACCAATACTTAAAACAAAACATAAAACAAGCTAAGGATAACCGAGCACCAGCTCCAGTTACAGATATGATTGAAAACTATTGAAATTCTGGGAGCTTCTACTGACTCCAAGGAATGTTGAAGCAATAGATCGAAATTTGAAAGCCTGTTGGATGGGCAATACTGCGACTGCTTGGGGAGTTGTTTTGAGATTAGGGGGAACAGTTTTTAGACTTTCAGAATACATATAGGAGTCACCCACTAACTCAAACTTTGTGACAATCCAACTTTTACCCACCATATCTGGCCATTCCTGATCCTGCAATCATTGAGTTATATATCGACATATTCTATCTGTTCTTCTCTTCCTCCAATTGCTGTTTCAGTCATATCCATGAATAACTCCTCATGTTACTCTATTCTATTCAACCATTATCGGTACTGTGCTCCCCCATGAGCAAAAAAAGTTATAAAACCACTTCTGGAGAAAAGAAATCCTGCAAAAAAAGGTCCCCATTAAATCCCAACCCTGGCAAGAAAGCAGCTGGGGTGTGAGTTCCCAGACAGTTCCCCCAGTGATGGTTATCGTAATGGTGGCCATCCCAAGCTTGTCAACTGGTTCAGAGGTGGAGAGAAATATGCTACTTCCCTATCCAAGACGGCTGGCTTTCTAATACCTATGTACAAGAAACCTCAAGAAGGTAAACCCCTTACATGCACCCATGCACCCAAACCACAACACTCCTGTATACCTCCATTTTTTCACAACTAGGTTTTCGGGCAGCGGTACGGATACTCCAATGGGTAGGACGTGAGCGAAAGACTTATTTCTTTTGACAAGGCAGACAAAGAGATTTTATAAAAGAGTGTAGTGAGATAATAAAGTAAAAACCAAAGAACGGAAAAGCAGGCAACTTAACAAGACGGCAGGAAAAGATAACTCTCTTAAAGAAAATAACAACGTAGGAGAAAAACAGCTATCTTTATGCTCAACCGCACCACCTGCATACTCCCAATGTTTGCCGCTCCCCTCTTCCTATTCCGGGGCATATTTCCAGCATATGCCATATCCTTTGACTTATCCCGAGGCATACTTCTAGCATGTGCCATCTCCTTCCGCATATTCCGAGGTAACCAGACTCCCCGGCTGTGATACGGACGACTTCAGTTGTTCATCAGGTTGTGAGGATTGATAGTTCCGAGGTTATCAGAGTGGTCGGGAATGTCTTCACGGCTGGGGTGATGTGGAGGTAGGATATGTTGCAGTATTGTTTGGCCTTAATGCAAGTCGGGTAGGAGGTTGAGATGGTATAACAGAGGATGCGAGAGAGTTGTCAGTCTAGGTTAGGTGGTTGTTCTTTGTGTACGCCACCGGATGCATGGGATGGTAGTTTGCATCAGGCCTCCGGAGCGAAGTGTTTCGTGTAAGCCGCTAACCTGAATGCTGAAACGACTGGGACTATGTGGTGAGCAGCAAGATGATGTTGTGCTCGTCAACATCTCAAATCCAACACCATTCATACATTTGCCATACATGTCTCCACACATATCTATCTTCCTCTGCTCTACCATGTCCGCACTCCCAACACCACAACATTCTAGAATGGGTATTATAATACCAACTTGTTTCGGTTCCCTCCCCCGTTCCTTGTTATTCAAAGAAATATTAGGAATGGTGTAATCTTGTCCGCATACTTGTTAATCTATGTGTACCATCGATCGTTACCAAACAGGTGCCGTTACACACAGTGTAGTACGGCAAACCCATGAGAACGAGCAAAGGATGTCCATCATATGTCATGATGTTCGTCAGTTTCCCTTTGGGTGAGAAGTGATTCTGCTATGTCACCTCCACAGATGATCTGCTGCTAGCCAGCGTGTCTTATGATTCATCATCACCATTGTAGATATGCTAAAATGCTACTTAATATTGCATGTATTGCCCGTAATCAATGAGTTGTAGAAGCTAAGGATGCCGGCCATAACCCGCCCTCGCACCTCATCGCGAAGATCCCAACATACAAGCCAAATTTGCCTTCCTCCAGCTTGACTGCCCCCCTCGGCAGACGCGATCGGGGGGGTTTTTTTTTAAAAAAAAAAAACTATAAATTTTATTCCTGGGAAACTCTGGAGCATTTATAGAGGTTTCATTTTTCCCATTTTTTCTATCATACGAGCACCGTACCCAATCCCCTTCTGGCATTCGGCAAGCGGCAACCGATCAACTCCTCCAATTCTGGCCCCACGTAAACTCTATTCACATCATGAACGGCGGAAGAAACAAGGCTTCAACGGAGTTCTTCAGCAATGTCGGCGCAGAATGGTCCCCCGTAATGCTCACCCTGCATTCAAGTGTCCGAACCCCACGCCATATTTCGCCTCCGGAATGATTAAATTTCCGGAAACCTGTTCTACACGGTAGCGCCGCATCTCCAGCTGGGCTGGGGGAGATGCAGGTTCGAAGCGATACCGTGGGTGGGGGGGTTGTCCACTCGACTACAGTAGTATTGAAGGTAGCTGCGGTGTCTGCCGACTTGTTCCGAAACTCTCGGCTGCTTGTGAACAATGTTAATTATGGTAGACAGCAGGCTTCTAGAACAGTCTGAGACTCCATCAAAGGTATTATCGTATTGGGGGTTCACGGTTGATATGCCGGGCAAGTCGTATCGCTTGAACGGGGGAAAATTCTGAAGGGACGGATGAGAGTACTTCCGCCAATCTTCAAGACCCTTCTAATTCACGCCGCGTGCATACCCGTGCAAATGTGCAGGGGCTTATTTTGTAATGAGTGACTGAAGCTCCCTCTCCATGAAATATCCCAGGATATCTTTTCTTTATAGTCTCTGAAAGAAGGTTCTCCTGGATGCTCGGGTCCGCAATCTCAAAGTGAGGATATCCCCAGGCATCCTACCTAGAGTATAGTCAGTTTTTATTCCAGCTCTCACTGCATAGGGTACAGCAAACGTTGCTCTAACCAATAGTGATTCACCAAAATCATTCCCAGTTACTATCACTTGCTCGAGCGCCCTCAGACTATATCCGTGCATCGTGACAACTCATCGCAATACTTCAAGTCGCACATATTAGCTGCGGCCCCAGACCTTGGTGAACCAAATATCCCATCCCAATTTTGCGTAACTGTCAAACGGGCCACGGGAGACGCCAATGTTTCACTCCCACGCGTACCATTTCCGCCCCGATCGGGTTCCCGCGGGACATCCGGATGCGCCATTCCGTCTCATCCCTCACAGCAGCAGCTGCTAACTCGGAGGATATGCAGCGGGTAGCCTGGGCAAGAAAATTACAGCTTGATTGCCTACTCAAGCCGCGGTAAGCATCATTGGGCACCCCTGCCAAGGAGGTAAAACTCCGGCTAGGAATGATAAGTAAGGAGAGAGGAGTATACCATCGCTTAATTATCCATGGTCGGGAGGTTGTGAGGTCAGTGTGTGAGAGGTAGTAAAAGCTAAGCGTTGTCTAACAATGAAAGGGATTGTGAAGAGACTAGGACATCCCACAGACGAGCGCTAAATGCAACGCGGTGCACACAAAGAGGAACTCGCAAGAGAGAAGGATCATCAGACAAAACCCAACACTTTTATAGTGGTTTGAGAAAAAAGAGCATGCATCATAGCCACTTCCAGTATTCATCCAGGCATGGTGCCTCATCTGTTCCTGCCCTTTATCCTTTGCACTTTACTCACCGTCAATATCACCCGCACAATTTTTTTCTGCAAATTCCCTTCCAACAGCCCCCATCCGCAGTTTTCCGAACAACAGATACAAACTTTGAGCTTCAACCCTCAGATAAGATGCCGGAAAACTGTAACTTGCTCTATTAATTCCATTCCTAGAGGTTATCCCATGGGCCATGTGTGCCTGGGCAGCTGCATGTCCCGATATATCAAATTCCCTAATAGCTCGCTAACATATGTTAGTTTGCCAACCTGCAAATACGAGATTCAGGCTAAGGCAGAAGTGCTGAAAACAGAGCTGTAGTGGAATGACAAGGGGGATTAACTGCCGGGGGAGTGCTACTTTGTGAGAGGTGGTTTGAATACGACCTATTCCTTTCAGCAAATAAAGTGGATTTAACAATTGAATTGTACCTCTACCCCCCTCACCCCCTCGCATTCCCGGTAAATACCCCTTCCACTTTGGTGACCGTGGAGATGTAAAGTGTTCCTACTTTTGTGTAACGTTGGCCCAAATACCGGCGTTTGCCAGGTTCTAAGCTCGCCAGAGTGCTCGACCGTGATTAGCTCTATCCTGTTGTATTCTGTGTCCGCTTGATGTTCGAATAAAGTTTGAATGTCCGGAATGCTGCTACTGAGTAATGGAAACACCAAATCTTTCAGGCCACCTCACCCACCGACTTCGCACATTAGTTGAGAAACTGACAATAGTCAGCAACCAATTCTCTTTTCTCTCTCTCCCTCCCAATTTCCCACCCATACCGTTCCACACTAATTAGTCTTCAATCCCAAGCAATTGGAGGACCAGCTCGGGTGTTTGACCCTCGGGGGTTGAAGAGTGATCCTGCATAAATTCATGGCCCACAATGCCAGCACATCTCTATCATCACCAACAAGTGTATTTCACAGCACGAACACCATTGGATTTTATAAATTTTATTTAGAGCTAGCGTGACCTACTGCTCTCCCAGAACCATACAAGCATAAAACCATACAACCATAGAAATAGCAACAACAAAAAAACCCATACAGCATAAAAGGTATCAAAGACGACACAATCAGGAGATCCAAGAACGACACCAACAGTCCCTAACCTACAGGCGATACCCAAACGCAAAGAGCCATGATTTGTTATGCTATACAAAGATTCCGTCAGCCTAGTTCCCGTCGTCGTACTCGGACCCTTCCTCCACTGCGGAATCCGCGTCGGATTGAGGCTCGTCCTCGCACTCTGATTCGACCGGGCCAATATTATCGTGAGACCAGTGCCCAGGGAACGGTGGGGTGCGATCCTCTTCCTCGGAAGAATCGAGCACAGCCTTGCCCTTGGCGGTGTACTTTTGGGGACCAGTGGTTCCTGCGCGTTTCGGGGTTTGCTTGGCCTTTGCCTGGGTCTTCGCAGTGGAAGTAGAGGCATCGCCCGCTTTCCCGGTAGACAAGACAAACTTTCCCCTTGCGTCTCTCGCCTGACTACGGCGGTTCTTGGGGTCGGTGGATTTCGTAGCAGATCCGCGACCGGGGGTAGGTCCCGCAGTAGATAACGTATTAGAGGAAACCGAAGCTGTCCTCTTGGCCGGTAGGGGGGAGAGCTCTGCCGTGGATCTAGTCACGCGCGGCTCCCAGGCTGGCGGGAGGGACTGCTTAGCTGCACTAGTGACAAGTGAACGTTTCCTAGACGAAGCCTTAGAACTCCCCAATTGGGTCTGCTCTTCATCACCGTCCTGGGACTCGACTGCTTGGTATTTCCCCTGAGCGGGGCGACGCCTCTGTGCAGGTGCCGTAGACATTCCGATTGAGAGCCCGATAGCTTCTTTACCCTTAGTCGGGGCCAATAGACCAGACTGCTCTTGGGCCCCTTGCACTCCCTCTGTGGGGCATTCATCGGGGCCCAAGCGGCGGGTAATCATCAAGGGGCTGCGACCGTTAGTTTTTGTATACATAACAGTATATCAGAAAAATATGAAACAAATAAAATTCGTGAATTCTGGGCTGTCGGAACCAGAGAACTTACTTCATGTTTTCTCTCTTCCTATAGCCACTAGAATAGACTTAGCAATTATACCTACTGCCCATTTGGAAAGAAAAAAACTTACGGAAACCTCAAGTCGAAACATCTCAGGCACCCAATAGTACCGGGCAAACTCTCACATCCCACTAGGCATATACCTTCACCCTCTGTGCAGAGCAAATTAGTTGTGTTAACAATCATTGAAGTCAGAACCACATACTCTGATATGGGACAAGCCATCCCAAATGAACCAGACGGCCTTGGTAAGGCCCAGCATCAGTAATGGTAGTTTGCATATTGTTTTGCAAGGTGTCTTGGACAGTATTTTGGGCCGTATTTCCCAACGGGTCCTGAAGGGTATTCTCGACGGGATTCTGAGCCGGAGCCACAACTTGCTCGGTGGCACGAATCTTACGAGGCCTTCCACGGGGTCGCCGTTGCGGTTGGGGTTCGTCTTCCATAGAGTCCGGAAAGTACGTATACTCGGCTGCGTTTATGGGAGGTGTTGCAAAGGTTGGCCGTTCAGATCTGGTATCGCTATCCGGGTCGTCGGGATAGAATTTGTAGTCTGTGCGGTTAAAGTTAGGAGGGTCTGTTCCAACACCGACAGAAAAACCAGGTTTTGGAACTTTGGTCATTGCTTTCTCACCAGGTTGTGCAGATGTAGAAGTGCCAGTGGCCACTGCCTGACCCCCTTTTATAAACTCAGCTGACCCCGCGGGCTCGGCGGGCTCGGCGGACTCGGCGCTCGAGACTGCTTTTCCCATTAGGGAATACCCCCCCTGAGATCGCCGCGGCGACAGGCTTCCCTCTTCTTCCATCTCGTAATCTGTCTCACCTGCAAAGATATCCTCCTCCTCCTTGTCAGCAGCCATAAGATCCAAAACCCAATCAGGGATTTCCTTTCCGCCCCCAGATGGATGCTCATCTATGTCAAGTCCATCCTTGGCAGAGGTAGTGCCTAGAACATGATCAGGGAGTTGGTTTTGCTGGTTAATGCGTTGTCTCTTGGTTGCTGGTTGTTGGTCAGATGAGCCGCTGCTTTCAATGCCCGCTTCCTGGGCTTCATGCTGAGGTGTATCTTCGTCTGCATTCCGGAATGAGTATTGTTACAATTAAAATCTGCAATAATTGACTAGAGAGAACTGGGAACTTTGTAAAAACTAGCTGAAAGACAAGAAAGGCAACTCACCACTCTCACTCCCAGGCCCAGACACATCGCCCATCTGCAGAGAAACACTAGGAGAGTTCAAATCATTCCCCTCCGCCAAACCTGTTGAAAGACCAGACATGCTTTCACCTTCATCGGACTCAGCCAGCCAATCTTGTGAAAATGCAGAGATAACCTCATTCTCAACAGACTCAGCCAGCGCTCCCAAATCACAATCTCTCAACGAAATGAACTGAACCCCATAGTCAGAGATATCATTGGCCCATGGTCTCAGAGTTTCCTCGCGAGGAGGAAGCGGCAATGGTGGGTATGAGGCATAAGTAGAATAGGGGTTGATCTGTGGTGGGGCGGGGCAGCCTGTATCGATAGGTCCTGGCGCTCCCATGCTGTTAGAAGGGAAACCTCCTGACTCGGGCGATTGGACGGCATCGGTATTGACTGGAAATGTTCGCCTCCAAATAGAGTTTGGAGGCAAAGGTCCCATTACACGCGTGAGGGGTGGATCACGATAAGGATCACTCTCTGGATCGTAGAGTGTGGGATTTTGGCTGCCTGGGCGAAAAGCACCGCTGAAATCCTGCTCTCTCCGGGGAGCTGAATACGGCCCGGCCATTAGTAGTCCTGTCATGATCGGATCTCCCCTTGGAACGACCCATGGGTTGGGTGACATGGTTTGGCGTCTTGAAGGTGGGCGGGTGGCGGAGTAACGCTGGCTGAGTTCGCCTGCAGCTTGACTTTCAATGCTTCCGCCAGTGCTCGGGCCCGGTAATAGTCCATCGGACACAGAGGATCCCAGAAAAGCTTCTGGAGTGCCCTGATGACCGATTGTAAGGGCCACCGGTTGGGTCGCACCCGTTGCAGAATTGACTGGGGGAGGAGGAACAGTGTTCCCCCCAAGAGTGGCTGATAACTGGGACCCCACACCGGGGGGGCCAGCAGGTGAAGGTTGTGAGTCTGGGGAAGTTCCCAAAGCATCAGCGAAAAGTTGAGCGATATCAACACCATATGGAGGCTCTGGATTAAGGCCTAAAATCAAATCCAGTGCCTCAGTCGCCTCTGAGCGGAATTCTGGTAGAGGAGGGTCTGTCATATTTGGCGGGCTTGACAAACTTTCTGGGAACACAGGTGTTAGATGGATCTCGTATGTCTCGGGGTCATCGCAGAGAAATTCAAAAGGATTAACTTCCAATATGTCCTCACCCTCGCCCTCGCCCTCACCCCCCCACCAGTTACCTAATGGCCCTGCTGAGGAGGATGGGTCGTGTTGTACCTCCGCGGCCACTTCTTGTCCAATGCCCTCATGGGGCCCCTCTTCACCCCCACCACCTTCTGTTCCCTCATGGTCACCCGTTTCCTCCGCGTCGTCGTCTGTTTCCTCATGCCCGGGCAAAGGCGCAAACTTCTGATAATCGCGGGGACTGTCCGGTATCTGGTCCCCCCCGATACTAAAAACTGACTCCTCCTTGGACTGCTTATCTGGCTCTGACCGGACCTCCATAGGGGCCACTACTGCTCGCACGGGAACCTCTATAGTAACATTGGGACAGTTACGAGGTCTGTACAACACTGGCTCCTGTTCCTCCACAGAGTACGTCAACGGTGGTTGAGGCCCGACACTGTTTGATGCTGCCGCCGAGGAAGAACCAGGGTCCTGGAAATTCTCGCGATCTGGCGCGCTGTGAAGAACCCCCGCACTACTGGCCTGAGGGTCCTCTCCGGTAGGTTCAGTGTTGGTTATTGGAACGGCAGGTACTTTTGAACTCCTGCGGGTGGGGCGCGCTCGTGCTGACTTCCTGGCCCTGCGCCTTCCCCCACGTTGCGCAGGGGCATTGGACTCTTGAGCGCCACGAGAAGCCTCGCTCATGCTTGGTTTTTATTGTGTGGAAAAAAGTGGCAAGTGTGTAGTGGAAAACTGGTGGTTGGAGGAACTTGTCAAAACTGAGAGAGAAGGTTGAGCGGTGAGAGGAGTGTGGAGGGAGAGCATACTAATTATTAGTTTTTATGCACCCGGCAAATCCTCAATGGCTTCCCTTCGGTTCCAGGGCTTCGGACAGGGAGTTTACCCGGATGGATATATTGGAGAATTCTTGAGCGCCGCCGGGTAAGCGTCATTTATGGAGTCTGGTAGGAAGGAGCCAGTGAATTGAGGTATGGGGTTGTCCGCTAGATCTCTGTTTTCGCAGCTAGGAAGCCACGGGCACGTGATCTGATACATTTTACTCTGACAGCAGGAACCTCCTCGACATCCCGAGCGCTAGGATACCCCTCCATTCCATGATCGCCAGGCTTTCGGCTCGCAGAGAGGGGACTCGCTTGGAGTAGGAAAGTCTAGGGTGTGTTCAGATACGACCGTTACCTTCTGTTCCCGACGGGTTGGAACTGAACTAGTGTTCGATAACTATGGAATAAATTGACGGTTCCATTATGAAATGTGCCAAGATGACTCCTATGAAACGGAAGTGGTCTGTTTCTACAGGTGCAACTGTTTTGAAACTAGACGGTCATGAGCAGTTCCGTTCCCACCAAGCAGCGCCTTAGGGGCTGTTTGGCAGGAACGGTAGGCGGGTTGAACTTTCGGTTCAAGTGATGATTTTACCTGGAGAAATGGTTGTCCTGCCATCTTCATACCGGAAGGTAACGGTCATTTGTATGGTGAAACAGAAAGGAACGGTGGTACCCAAATAGGCCCTTAATTCCAAGCCGTAGGCATACGGCAGTCCATATCCAGGGACCTATGCACCTTTTTTTGAAAATTCAAAGCATAGTACTACAGTAAGAACTAGAATAGTTGAACCTTGAGCTAGGACGTTGGAGTTGCCTCTGCTAGTATAGTCCTGTGTTTTTCCTGGTTTTTGTCATTGCCCCTGTTTAGGTACGACCGTTCTTTTCCGCTTTCCAATATGAGACAAAGAACTGTTACCCTTCGGTTATGAAACTGCTGAGCAGAACTGGTGTTTGGTAATCATCAAGCTTAGTGACCGCCCTGCTTCGAAACAGCCATAACAAAACAGCTGCCACATGTGGAGACAAATTGGAGAAAACCGCTTCGGCAGATCAAACCATTACCAAGCCGAAAGGTCTCCTGTCGTTACTTTCTTTTTTTTTGCCAAACAGGCCCTCCACCCGCCGCTCAAGGGTTGGCTTTGACAGTGCTCCCGGCCACTTATAAACGAGAGAGAATTCTAGAAGTCCTAGGGAAAGGTTCAATCATTCATGTTCTTATTGTATACACCCCTAGAGTCATTGCAGAGACCTGTTGGTTGCATTGTGAAAACCGTCGAGGAAATCTGTCATACTGACACTACGGAACGCCTATCCCGCAGTGCCTGAGGACTGATATAACGAGGGCCGGAGCTTGCGTGCTATGGTGAATAATTTCACTCCCGAGTGTTCACTGTGAATTGAAAACCCAGCTAACATTGGTCAAGTCGAGGCTCACATTCTCAAGCAACACAGACACCAGAAGGGCGGAGAGAGGGAAGTGAGAATTTAAGGCGCAGTACTCGTAACCACACACAGACCGTCGGCGCTGGGAGTAATGAGGGGCTGGGAACTACTACTGTGCGTCCGGTTATGGTGGGTGTTTGCGCTGGGCTTTCGGCTAAGGAACAGAAATAATGACGGAATGCACTAATCAATTGATATTGCGTCTATGAAAATTCTCTTTAGAAGAGAAAGTATTTATTATTCCAGTCACTCCTCCAGTGTAGGGATATCTAAACCTCCTTAACTCATCCCCAGGTCCCTTTCGCGCTTGCACTCCAAATTTGGATCAAGACACATTATGCCATCTTCCATAGGATATGACAATCTGAATTTCCCAGCCTTCGGCAGTTAACTCTAGATAACTAGGCATACCCCAGTGAGCCCAGCATAAGATAAGTTGTGCGAGTACGATACATCACCGCCACTGCGCCACACCCAATTACATATGATAACCAGTGTCCGGAAAGATAAACCTCTTAACCACTTTCAGTCACCGGCATTAATAAACTTGAACGGAAAAGTGCTAGTTTGGGACTACTACCCCTGCCAATAATAGTAACTATCGATGCCAATCACTGGCCTCCATCGCTCTCGGCATTCAACGACACAGAGCCCACTATAGGAAAATCATTCACTATGGAATGCCAGGAATTATCCTCCATGCCACAAGGTCAGCTGAAGACCTGTCCGCTCCAGCAACACAAGTGTCTGGTGGTATTATGGGAAGGAAAAAAAAAACGAGGGTCGTTCTCCCGATCAAATCAGCGCACGATCGCAGCTCGCTTAACCGTCGCTTAAGAGGCGTACTGTACTGTACTCGAGTACAACATACTATACCCGTACTCCTACATACCTTCAGTTAGGAAGCCAATAAGTGGAAAAGTACTCATATCGTAGCCAAAACGCGACCGGTGGAATAGAGTTGAAATACTTAACCGCGGCCATTCGCATCCTGCTGTGATACTCTATCAAATCCCGGCTCTCGGCTTCTACCGTACCGTCGCCAATAAGGATACCGGCACCCTACCCCTGGAACCACCCATGAACCGAAGCGCTGGACACCCTTATCCCAGAAATCCCGGTTATGCAACAAAGACGGGAAAAAACCGGGGCGGAAGTACCAGTATCTCTGTTGACTTCCGTAATTGGATGGTGCGATTGACCGAGCTGCAAAAGGGTTGGCCACAGTAACGTGATCTGGAACCGAATCGAATACGAGGATGGAATTATTGCTGATAAAGTTGACGGTAAGGCACAGTAAAGAAGAAATATTAAAAGGGTGGAAAAACAGAGCTTGGAAGCAACTGAAAAGAAGGTGGTGTAGTTGGTTGTAAAGGTGGGTGGTTGGTGTGGTGCCGCTCACGATAAACCAACAAAATAGACAAGAAAATGGCACCTAGTAAAAAATTAATATCAAACTCAAAATTAGAGAAAAATATTTATTTTACCTCTGGCGTGTAGCCAGGAAGCAGGCCTACAAGGTTATTAAGGTGGGATTTTGACATTAACTAAAATAAAAGTTTTCTACATCTTTAAAAAAAGTAATATTCAGCTAGTTTTTTCTCGTTTTTTCAAGGCTGATAAAACTTTTATATTATTTAATATTAAATGTCCACCTCAATAACCTTGTAGGCGTGCTTCCTGACTACAGGGCTGATGCAAAATAAATGTTTTCTCTAGTTTTGTGTTCGGTATTAATTTTTTTTTCAGGTGCTATTTTCTTGTCAATTTTGTTGGTTTATCGTGAGCGGAACCATACCTTCGTTCGTCCTCAGTCTCTGAGAAAATCAAGGCCATGCCTCCAGATGAAACTTTCCACCTGCTGAGTCTCATCCCAAACAGAAATTCTATGAGCAACAAACCCCGTGAAACATGACCAGAAAACTCCTGAAACCTATTTGCTGCCACACCGGCAGTAACACCCAACCAGCAGCCTTTACTAGAAATATCCAGAAGGCTAATTAATGGCTGTAATCTATTTGGACACCTTCCTGCGAAGGTCCACCAAAAGCCTGGGTTCTTGAGGCCAAGGCTGGCCAGATGCCTTTGTTTGATATCATACCATTCCTGACGGTGAGTTCTCTCCCCCTGCCCCCCCCCCCAAAAAAAAAACAGCTATCAAAAAATGAAGAAAAGCAATAGAAAATTAATTATAAAAATATAAAAATCCTCACAACCCCCCATCTTCCTCCGGCTAACCGTCCGATGTTCTCAAGAATTTTAACCACCAAACCCTCAAGAAACAGCCCGGCTGGGGCAATGGTAATTTAGCTCGTCAGACTTCTACCGGGTTCGGGCCCCACTCGGGATTTTCGATATCATATCATATGACGCTATATATTTTTCTTGTTCTTCCGCCCGGCCACCTGCAGCTTCCCCCTTTCACTTCCGCAGGGTCCAAATCGCCACAGGAGTTGCGCTTTTCAGCCAACACTCAAATTGCGGATGGACACTTGAGCTTGATTCCGATCGCTCACCTACACCCGTTCATTTCCAAATCCGATACCGGGTGGCCGCGCGCGTGCGGATTCCTAATCGGGAATATCAATGCCAAGTTCTTTCACCCCGGCTACCGTAACCAAATCCTCACCCGCTGATCTACCCCCCCCCCCCCCGCGCCCATAGAAAGCTAAAATCAACCCGGCTCGCGCTCGAGTGAAAGTTCAAAAAGGATTCCTCCTTCCACAAATCGCCCGGGACCGATAAATTGACCGTAATTGGTGGTGATCTTGCGAACAAGGATTTCGGTTATTCGGCAAACGGCTTCGCGGCTGGCGATATTCCGGGTTTGGGGACGATATACATTTGGTACCACAGCGCACCCGCGGTATGCTTCAATTCTAATGTGTTCATTACCCAATTATCCTAGTCGCCAGTTGTCGTGCCGGCGATGATGAGTATTGTACGAGCCTGTTAACAAAAATCACCGCTACTCGAGTACCGTAGTGTAAGCGTACTGTACCACACCAAAAGTAGCCGACTTCACGCAGTTGTATTGCCTCCCTAGGGTACCCAAAGAAGACAAAAAATACCAACACAAGCTTCAAAACTATGTCAACATTTCATACCCCGAAGCTTAGGGCTAGCAAAGATGGATTGATGCTTCCCAGTTAAAACTATTCTAGTGAAGTTGAAAAAGGGCAGGGAGAACCACAGTTTCTCGTACAAAAAGCGCCAAGACCCAATGTCACTTTTACACTTTGATCAGTGGGCACCTCAAGAAATGAGATGTTTATTTGTGACAACCTGGAAGAGAAATCCCACGGAATTCTCTCAGATGTGCTGCAGATCGGGGTTTTATCGATCGAAGAGGGGTGGTGTTGTGAGGTTGTGAACATGGCCACTTTGGGTGTAAAACGAACTTCTAGCGGTGATTTCTCTTACCGGCTTCGTACCCGAGTGTACCAGCAGTGCGGGCCAGTTATGATAGGAGTAGGGAGGCCCAAAGTGCCCAGTACGCTACAAACCAAGTACACAACATACCCCGCAAGTACTCGTACAGGCGTCCCGCATGAATAAAATCACTTTACGGTACCTCTGCACTGATATGCTGCATCCCTCCTCCGGAGGAGGTTTGCCGTGTACTGTACTTAGGTACAGTGCAGTACCGCATTTTCGGAAAAATACACCTCTACCGAAACACCTTCCGTGTGCAGTACCGAGCGCTTTGAATCTCCCTACTGTGCAGTTCCAGACGGATACAATGAATAATCGCATTCCCAGTGATAATATCGTATGATAACCCAGCGGTCGGTTTTTCTTTGTTTTTTTTTTTTTAAAAAAAAAAGTCGCCGAAACGTGACTTACGGTAGCATATCGTCCAAGTTACTATAAGTCCATTACAAATTTCGCTTAACTTATGGCGAAGGCCATCACTCACAAACCCATAACTCAACCCACCCCTTTTCATTTTTTTTTTCCACATTCCGGGGACTATTTTAAAAAAGAAAAAAAAAAAACGGCGGGTTGTCAGCAGGGAGTCTGGTTACATAATTTGGTGGTGGTCAGGCGAGTATTTTTTTTTTCGGGATCTCTGCACGTTTTTCTTTGGGGATTTTTGTTTGACGCCTTGCGTCGTGCTGGATGCTGGGTGGCTTTGGGTTGATTTACCGTTGGAATGGTGAATAGATTTGTCGGTCGTGGGTGCTTTCTGCAACCCGTAATTTACTGATCGTGGTTGAGCGCTCTAAGGTATCGATCCCAGGTGCAGCAGGGTACAGTACAGCGACAAGATGCTACCGTATCCCATTTTGGCGATGGTTCTTCTCCTACTTTCAACATCACGGAAAGCCCGTGGTAAATTTATATGTAAAGTGCGATTAGCGATAGTGTTACATTCTATCCGTCCACCCACCGTAAATTTGCCTCTGTCAAAAAAAACAATAAAGGAAACAAGCCACTCCACCCGCTGGTCTACTCCCCGAACCACTCTCTAACCAACTGAAGATCCATAACACACACTTTCAAACCAGATTGCTTCGCACGATCTTGCAGCGAATCCTTTGCCGTGACGACCTCCACCCGATCACCCATTCTTTCGAATATCCGTAGGTCTCCTAATAACTCCACAAACTCCACCATCTCAAGTATCGCGAGGTCGTCCAACTCCGAAATGTAGTTTGCTTCATGAACGACCCGCCAAAAGCGATAAGCCGCCGTGAGGATTCGGTGTCTCTGCATCTGCGTCACTACAGGCGCTCCGTACCCGTCCGTGAAGCCGAGCACTTCCAGAAGCGAGCATCCCCAGGCGTCGACAAGTTTCTGGCAGGTTGATCGGCTATATAGAAGTTCGGAGGCCTCTGCGATCCCGATTGCTTGCGGGGGTGTCGGCGATGGGAGAACGGAGAGGGCGAGGGGATATATTTCTGCAAAATCGGATTCTGCTATGGAAGTGCATATTGTTGATGGGTTTGCATGGAGGACGCTATTGAAGCGTGGGTGGGCGAGGGTTAAAGCGTGTAGGGTGGCGAAGTCCGGGAGGGATTGTAGGACTTCGACAAGGAGCTCTGGGGGGAGTACGACAAGTGGCGCCAGCATTTCGTGGTTTTTGTATCTTCTCCGCGAGTGCTTGGGAGAGCGAGTTAGGGAAGGTAGGGGATGAGGACAAAGTAGAGGGCTCGGTGAGGGTTAGAAAAGGAGTAAGGTATGTACTCGAGTATTGCGTGCCGCCGGTCCATTTCCGCAGAATTCTCAAGCGGCATGCGCAGAGTGTACGGTATCATACTATAGATCAGTTGTTCATTTTGTCAGCCCGGAGGACAGGCCACGGGGGGCCTGAGGACACGTGCGAGGCCATCAAACAACAACTGGATCATCTCCTCAATCAGGTTGATCATCTTGCTGCTGGGAACGAAAGAACACCGGCAGTGTTTTGCTGGGGGTTGGGAGGATAGCTCTCACCATTCCCTCAGACGCGCCCAGGCGGCGGTGGAAAATGGCTTGATGGGGCACAGAATCCAAGTCTGCCAGGGGGATTAAACTTAACCAACCAGCAACACTCTAACCGAATCGACATATCGACCTCACGTGACCATTTCCGGGGAAACTCCGCACCCCAAACAAATTCGCTCGAAGCACCATCCTTCATTTCCATATAATTTATCTTGGGGGTGATTATTTTTCCGTACTGATTCGTGAGATTCAATATTCATTTAGCCGTGGGAGCAGAAACCCGTGTGGTTAGTGATTACTCAGTAGTTGTCCCGGTGGCTGCCGAAGCCCCTACACATCGTCTTGGAAGCGGGAAGAGGAGCTTTGGAACCGGTGCGTTGCCCAATCTGGGAGCTCGATCATCCCGCTAGTAATCGGAGAGGGATAGGACGAACATTGCCGAATCTGTTGCCGTACGAATAGCCTGGGCACCTGGGCTTGTGTAACCGTACTCGTAGCAAGTCATGATCCAGTCCGTACCGCATCAGTGCCGTATCATATAACTAATCAGGGTAGGGGCCGAACGAGCGCCAATAATCGTATCAAGTGTTGATGTCCGTTGTCCGGTACCGTAGGTGAACACCAGAAGTGAACCCCCTACATACGTGTCAACTTCACTTTTGACAAGTTTCTACCGTACCGTACCCGTACGAGTACCAGATGCATAACCCCGCACATCATGCACCTAGAGAGCCTGTTGTAGATCCTCTTAATGGGTTACGGTAGTGGTGCCCTTGCCATGAATTGGCCCTTGGGGATTTAATGCGCCACGCCGGATTTAGAGCACCGAGCCAACCCCCGCCACCCGCTCAACAGCCAACGATGCCGGTACCGTACTCGTAGGTGCATCGGGCGCGACGTGTTTTTGTTTTCTTTTCTTAAAAACAAGGTGGGGTGCTTTCGGTCGGCGATATCGAGTAGCAAACGATCGAAGGCCGATACCCTGTTCCCATCGTTTTTACACGCATCCCGATCTATGGATTGTGCTAAATCACAATTCTATTGGAGTCGCGAAGATATAGAGTGAGTGTGGCATCCACTTGATCCCGACTGGGAGCGACGACTTACCTTTTTCGCTAGAGGGGTAGGTCCGTGAGTGAGGGGAGATCGTTTGGTTTGGCAACCGATAATATCTTCTCCGCAAACTCGTTGGTGATGATGTCGCGTTGAAGGTGCAAAGGGAGGATAGTTAATCTTGTGGGTGAAGACCCAGTATCGGAGAAATTCGTAAGCCGGGGCTAACAATCATGTGCTCCAAGATACTCGTCCGCCACTGTTTCAGTACCACACACGTTACTGAAAATACTCTACCTGAGCCGCATCTTCCATACAAACCCTAACCCACACTCCCGTTGTCAAGTACTGTACTACCGTAGTACAGTACCCCTACCCGTAATGCCCTCCATGGCAACATGCGGCCTCTACATGTACAGTGAAACCCCCGTTATCTCCAGGACGTGGGGAGACTGGACTCCCTGGAAGTAGAGGGGGGATGGAAAATAGAGGAAAGGCTTGGCAGAATAGAGGGCAGTGCTGAGAGAAAAATGAGTGATAGTTCATGAAAGCGTATAGGGTTTAACTCCATATGTTTACACTCCAGAAAAATAATACACCCCTCCCATCTGATGACCCTTTATTCTAAAAACACGCATATCCATTCAACTCACTATCTAGTTATCTGGCAATTTGTCTACAGCTTTGCCCTGGAGGTGACATGAAAAAGAATTTTATGCACATGAAACCTGGAATTTAGGAGCCATTTACCGCCTGGAAAGAGGAACTAATAGAATCCTAGAACTTAGAGGAGGAAAGCCCATAGAACAAAACCTGTCCCCGACAAATGATAGAAATACCGGAGACCTGGAAACATCGGAGGGTGGAGTTATCGGAGGTTTCACTGTACACTGTTAGACACCTGAATCGGCTTGCGAAATCGGACGACTGCTCTCCATTGCATCGTACGGTACCCATATTCATATTCACCGAGACAAGACAGAACAAAAACCCCTGGCTAAGACCTATGCCATTTCATTTGTTTCCACCTTCGGCCCATCACCGAGACTTTGGAACATCCCCGACCGCTACATGTAGTATCCGCCCTCGCCCACTCGCATCCAAAATCTATCCACTAATATTTAGGGCCCTCCTAGGAAGCTAGAAAGCGCTAACATCCGACCCCCAAAGCCTCCCTACTGGTAAAATCTGGCCCGAATACTGTTCTAACTTATTGGTGGGTGCCTCCAAAATGAGCGTGTAAAAAAGAACGTAAAAACACTGGACAGGGTATAGGGCACTTCAACAAAAAATACATAAATTAAAAATTAAAAATTACCACTATATATACAAATACAAGGTACTCCATCCACAACTTTAAAGTTCTTAAAAGCGTGAATTTTACTAGGAGTCTGCAAGAAATTTTTTACCAGAATAGGAATTTGGTTGTGAGGTTTGTAAATCAAATCAACAATGAAAGAATTGTAAATAATAATAGGGTAATCACTGAAAATAATACTATTATAAAATATTGGTCAATATAGCCTAAGAGCCAGCAGTAATCACACAAGTTGATAACAGGAAACATTTACTATATATAATTTAATAACCAATAATATTTTAGTTTCTTGTAGGCTAGGTTATGATGGGAATAGATCTTGGCGGAATGCTCTTAATATCTATAATGACTATTATAATTATTAACTTTACTTCTTTTAAAACTTGTAGAGCAGTGTGGCAACACACGGCCAAATACTTGTGTATAATACGGCCCAACATGGAGGATAATCGATTTGATTGAAAACGTGGAGAACTAAGTTCACTTCGACACCGGGGGTGTCCGGAGGTTACTTTTCTCCGGGGTGGGACCGGTGTCGTACCAGGGTATTAATGGTGGTACCCTGCATCTCGCTAACAATACCTAAGGAGCGTTTGCTGTGATGTGCGTCGGCTGTTCTCGTGCTTGCCCTCCCGGGTCGGTGGGAGCAGTTGGGGGGGGGAATTTTGTGACGGTTTGAAATGGAATATATTTATTCCAGCTACGGCGATTGCATTTCCCCTCTGCAGGGGCGAGAAGAAAGTATAATAGCTGTCAGGGCTGGGAGCTGGTGGCTCATACGGTAGTTCGTCTGTTGACCCCTAATATCCATCCTTCGTGCTCATTGTGGGCGGGTTCAGTTAACTGAATTGGCCTTGGCCTTCTGTATTATTGTAAAGTGGCTAGTACGGTACCGTACTCTGCTTGAGTTGGGATGGGTATTGATTGCAACCGGGATGAACCGGGGGTCTAGTCTTTCGGGAGATGGACTTAGGGGTTACTCTTTCCGGGTGTGGGGGAGTGGTCACAATTTACAACCAAGGGGTCGTGCGAATATCTATCCCAGCATGATATCCTCCCTCCTATTTTTTGGCTCCTCCCTCATCACGTGAGATTACTCGTGGATTCTAGTTAGTTGTCTCAGTGGCGTGTGATAGTTCATGGTCACTCCAGGATATCAGGAATAGTGAGACAAAGAAGCAGTTTTTCTAGCGTTTCCATAATTTGTATCCACTACTAGTATTTGAAACACACTAACTGAAAGGACAAGGCGACGTCTACCAGCAACACCCCCCTCCCGGTCAACTATTACAAAATTTTCCCAAAACTTCCGCTCTAGAGGGCACCTCCTTATTGCGCCCTTGGCTGTAGAAGCAGTGAGAGAAGCAAAAAATGAAGGAAGCCATCTAGGCAGATACATGTATTAAGTAGTGAAATTGAGATTAGAAACAGCAGCCCTCCACTCTACCGAAAGACGAATTAAAAACATGGATAGGGAAATGAGGGGAAGTGCAAAAAAAAAAGTAATCATAAAATTGTGGTGGAGGAGTGAGGGAAAACGAAATATCTCGTTAGGTGTTTAGAAGTAGTATCCACGGACACCCCTCTTGGCGATCTTTCCAGCAGTGCAGGTAGTACCAGCGGCGAGTCTACCCATGAACTGCTTACGGCCAGAGCCGCACAAGTACCAAGTGTTGTTCTCACCGCATGTGACCTCACCCTCGGCCTTGCAGGCAACGGCCGATGCGGTGCCTGTTGGCAGAGGGGGAGAGAAGCGGAATGTGGATGAGAGAAGAGTAGTAGGGGCATTCATCGGTGAAGTCGGAGGCTGCACATTGTTCGTGGCGGTCGGCGAAGGCGTGAAGGTAACTTGAGTAGTGACCACCTCCTCATCACTGGAGGCATCTGCTACAGGCGGTGAAGGCGGTGAAGGAGCGGAACTGCTGGTTTTACTGGGAGCGGTAAAGTTTCCGACTGAAGGCTTAGGTTCAGGTCCAGAATTTCCCGCTGGTGCCCCGCCGGTACCTTTCGATAAAGGTTCTCCGCAGGGAACAGGAGTGATTCCCTTTCCGAAAACCTCTGGACCTGGGTTCTTGAAATCTATTGCCGTAGTCTGTTCTGGAACGGTGCACCCTCCACCAATATTGGCTTTGAACAATCCTGGTAGTGCCTCAAAAGCACTCATCGACGTTTCCTCCCCGCCAATCATAACAGTAGAGCACTTCATGTACATCTCGCGATTACCGATGCGATTGAACCAAGTCCAAGCCACGACCGCTTTTCCCTTCGGCAATCCCTTCGGCACGGTGAAGCTCAGCGGATTAAGTTTCCAAAGCTCGAGTTCAGACTTCAATCCGGTAGGGTCCCGATCTTCCGGACCCAAGTTCCCAGCAGCCTTGATAGGATGGTCGCCCATATAACTTGTCATTACTCGGAAAACGGTGTTCTTGGTTGGATTCGTGTCGTAAGTGATTGCCATCTGGCCGCTGCCGCCGCCATGAACTGCAGTGCCCTTGATTTTCAGTGGGTTGGAGGTTCCCGGTAGATAGGTCGCTACCGGGGCCTCAGGGGCGACGCCGTGACAAGGAAAGTTGCTGCCGTCGTTTTGGAGCGGGTTGAGGTTACCATCTGACTTTTCGACGGTAGCGCGAACTACCTCCGGAACATTCCATTGTTTGGGTTCAAACATTGTAACATGGGCGGTGATCGTGGGCAGGAGGACCGCAAAGGAGAGAAGAGACGTGGGGTGCATGATGCTTGGTTTCAGTTGTTCTCTGTAGGAACTGAGTGAGGAAGTAGGAAGATTTATAAGGGGGGCTTGTGGGGAGAGAATCTTCTATGTAAAGGAGTGTGAGGAAGGGTAGGTGTAAGAGAAGTTTGAAGTTATGAAGTAAGGTTTGAGGGAGCTATGTTTGGGTGATTATGGATATAAATACTCGTCGGGGGTAGGACTTTCTAGGTGGTTCATGAATCTTGAATTGTTTCTATGGTTGTAGAGCAGCAGGGGGCCGACCATTCGCGAAACGCGCAGAAAGGTTATTTTGTTTGAGACAGCCATAGAATGATGAAGTTTCAAGACTTTGCGGCTTTATTAGGTGGTTACGAGTTCAAGTCTTCTTTAGACTTTAGTGCTGTGGGTACCTGTGTAGCGCCACACGAGGCTGAGACCTCACTATTCACTTGTAGGGTTCGAGGGTGAACAACAGGAGACGACACACCACCCCGTTTGTTGTTGGGTTGACTAACCAGGAAATTTTCTACGAAATGGGGCATTTAGAAAAAAAATCGGATATGACAAGAAATTCACCCATCATATACCACCGGACAGGCATTAATAAACTGTTCCTGTTTGTGCATAGGACTGTCACCAGCGAACCTGTCATGTTGTGTAGGGCTTGGCAAGTGAAGCCGATTAAGGCCTAAAGGAGCGATACAACCTTCAGGTAGAACCCATACTTGAATATTATGGCTAGCGAATGGGAATAGTCACATTCTCACTACATAGCATCTGTCACCCTGAGTACAGTCCCCCTAGTTCGGGAACTGTGGAAGTTTGAATAATTGGACCGTATGTCCTAAAAGTGGACAAGAGACACACCAAAAGCCCAACCCCTTTCCCACTTCCGGGGCAGGAAAAAAAATAATTCTTGACCATACTGTGTGAGGAAAGTCTAGCGGCATCGCACATGGTTCGATTATTCAAGTTTTACGCTAGGTGCATATCCAATGTGGACTTTTAGGTGTCTGTCAAGCACTCCTCTAACTAGATGCTGGGCCTTGAAACTGAGATGCTAAAAGTCTGAAGTTCATATAATTAATCGGTGCTTACTCGTGAGCTTGGTGAGAGGTATAGTTCTGTTAATTCACTAGACTAAAATTCTTGCCAGAACACCCCTGGTTATGTGGATCTATAGTGTTCAACATTAAGCCTTCTACATAGCAATATGTAACAAAACTCGTATCGGATCAAGTATGCACGCTTGCCTAGATTTTTTTTCTTCCCCACTCCGCGCTCCTCCATACCGTTATTACTTAACGTCCCACTCTTTTTCCGGAGAATGTAATAAGGTACGGCTTCAATAATAACTTCTCGATTTGTATAAAAACGAGAGCATTCTGTGCAGCAACTCCTGTTTTTCAACACCCTCCACTGTCGCATCTTTAGAAATCGGTCATATACGGGAAGCCTGTTACTATGAGCTCCTTTCTCTACTTGCTCTCCGGCACGATTTGACGATATCCAATGGCCCTAGATTTTGGGTTGGATTGACTTCAAGGTTGGTCAAAGGATGACCGTATGTATACCCACTTGCCAGGAAAAAAAAGGGGAAATTACTGACGGCGGGAACTACCTCTGCCCTGGCTATAGTGGGCCGCCCGATACATCGATCTCATTATCCACGTCAGATCTCCTTCCCTTGTGCACCGATGAGGTTGTGGGAAATGATCCGATCTACCGCACGGGTATCATAATATCCAATGGCTATGGTGGGGTTCTGGGTGGGGATTGTGATGGTGAGCACTTCTCTTGGAAGCCAACTTTAAATAACTAATTGCGTGCATATCCGCTGCAGTGATGATAGATCTGATCATATCAGTTGGGTTTCCTACCGGCAGAATCAACCTTGCTGATGAGAAGTAGCAAAACTATCATGTCGGTCAAAATTCGGTTAGCACATAAGTTACCGACATAGGAGTTACCTCACCGTGGATTATCCCAGATTAAGCATACTAATCTTCAAGGAGAATCAGTGTCCCCAACGGTCCAGTCGGTCCGGTTATAGGGTAGGACAGGACTGACTATAGCCGGTAGTCCGTCTTTCTGGATTCACTGTGGTATAATATGTTGTTCCCCATAGTCCCTGGCAGTCCCCCGCGGTCCATAGTAGTCCCCACCGTCCCTAGAAATCCCTCACCGTCCCCGGAGGTCCCCCACTATCCCCCTTACCCACCCTGTTTCACCCTAGAGCGCCCACCGTTCCACCCAAAGACCGTTGTCCTGCACCCTCACCGCCTAGGACGGACTGCGCATGGCCGTCCCCTCCAGTCCAGGGCTCTTGATAGCCCCCCGCACGGTTGGCAGCACTTCTGGTCGATCGTGGACAGATTTCCTCTGGTGCCGTAGGAACAGAATCAGACACCTCTGCCCAACCGAATGTATCCAACACCAGCACTGGTTACGAAAAGCGAACCTTACCAACTCAATATTCCCCCGCCGGTAGAGTGAACCCACCCACCAGTGCCGATAGGCATGACGGGTGCAAGGCTGAACCCAGGGGCACCGCGACCCGACATGGAAGCGCACTTGCTGTTTCCTGCGACTCCCGGACCCCCGCAGGTCACATACCAAGAGATCAATCAGTTTAGTCACGATCAATTATTACAATCATTAGACGAGCGCCAATTTTTCACTAATTATGGGCCTAGCCCAGGTTACTCGTCTCGTCAATGATAAAAGATACCGGCTATGATGGGTTAGAATTTCTAGTGAATGGGTGTCACATCGCTTAGTGTTTGATATTTTTGCGTTTTCGCCCTGCGACCGATCTTAGCCACCTGGTCGTAAAACTCCATAACTATGCAGGTATGCTTGTTCACAGTTTTTGCTTACACGTAATGTTGACTCCATAGGTTAAGCCATGCAAATACAGGTGGAACAAAGGCAGCCAAGAATTGGGAGAATTGGATACGATGAACTTGTGATACGCCATGCCGATGAGGTCTCATCTTTTCGCTTTCAATAGATTTCTTCGCTTTCCTGATCCTAAATTTTTCGCGGATGGCTAGATCCTGGTACTGTTGGATGTATCCGAGTCTGATACTGTGCGGCAAGCTTTAGCCTGAAACGTTGGTGCAGGCACTAAAGTTATCATTCTGTCTCATGGGAGTGTGGGAGAAAGTCCTGAAACAAAGGAGGATTCATCTGTTCGGTATTGTTGGCAAGGTGAAGAGTTTTCCCTGCTAGTTTGTTTGGAAGGATGATGCACATATTGATCACGGAGGATTCAGAACTTATGGTATTGTCTTTATAAGTTCCCTTTTGTTCGCTATTATTTCCTCATGATCAACCACTCTCCTTTTTATCTTCTTCTCGTTATCTATACTACTCTCTTTACAATATTATCGAATGTAAATCCTCACGGTCTTTAAAATCCTCATGCCGTATATCGAAAGAGCCATCCTCCGAGTGTTCTTCAAGTCCTAGATTGCTTCCGTGTAAAAGGTACTAGTGACTCCAAAATTGGAGAAAAACACTGGTGGTATATAGTATTATCATGGCATTTCCATTAAGCTCCAGCTTATCCGCCCTGCCTCAGGTCTAATTTCCAAATCCATCGGAACCTTGGATACCCTTCGTGAGCTGGGTTGTACACTTCAGAATTTCGAGTGCCTGATGCATCCTGGGGCTTTCTCTATTTCCTTGTATTTACAAGTGGTCCTTGGCGAAGAAATGCGTCACTGTCACCTCCTCTCTGTCGGTACAGTATATATAATTTCTCTTCGTGGCATACACATAGGTAACATAACCATTATTTCCAACCGTCCTGTCCGTCCCTCTTTGGGGTAGGACGGTGTTGTAAATCACCGGCACTCCAACTAACCCCTTACCCATCTAGCAAGACTGGAAGGACTGGAGACTTTTCCAGGGTGTCCGAAGTTTGTAATACTTACAAGTGAATTGATAAGAAGGATGGAAGGTTCTAGAGATTACTACAGATGAGTGTATTATAGATTGATATTGCGGGGCAATGAAAGGAAATACACGAGGGGGCAAGAGGGAAAGTAATTGGTCAACAAAGCGGGGTGGAGCGACGTCTCTAGAATCATGAAGAAGTTAAAAGAGGGGTAAAAGGCGGGGTCATGTGGATGACCAAGGAGACCGGTTTGGATGGAAGAAGTTATCATCTGGATGTATATAAAGCCTGCTGTTTGATACGTAGTGGGAAAGATAGAGAGGGAAAGATAGAGCAGCGATCAGAGAGAAAGTTAGAATCGAGTTAAGGCCGACAGTCAGAAAGGCACAAGCTTCCGGCGCGCAGAAGTGAGGATATATGACTTCAATTAGTTTTAGACGGGATCGGCTTTAGCCGGTAGTCTGTCTTTTTGGCAATGCCAGGACAGACTGCACCCGGGTTTGGTATCACAATATTATGATATGAGTGGAAGGACTGTAGGGCACTGTGGTCCTACTCCCTAAAACCCTAGAGACAAAATATTAGTGCCCCATAGTCCCCTGCTGTCCCCTTTCAGAACGACCGAGAACAAATATTGTTGGTTCGGGTCTTAGTGCAATGTATGGAAACGTGCCGGTATCGGCGCCCTAGGGGATGGTTCCCTTGCCCACCTTTATGCCATGACCCAAACAAAAGCCATCAGCCGGTGGCCGGGAGGAAAGGGTACTATGGACTGTCCGGACATTTAGAAACCCCAGTGTGTGCTAATCTGTGGTTAAACTGGCCAGAGAATACTTGCGTCAGCTATCTGGCTGAGCCCCGACTCGCAGGTACAAGTGTCAGACGGACGATAGCGGACTTCGTGGGAGGCACTTACCAATGTTCCGCCGGCTACTGTAGCAAGACTCCGGAGAAAGCACTCTCAAGGCCATAATATATCTCAGGGCTATGCTTTATCGCTACACTCTCCCCAAGAGAGCTCCCAGTATATTCTTCATATCCATTTTGCATTTTCGCATAAAGTGATCAATCCAATACTCCTGTTCTACAATCTAGTGGCTCTAGTCTCTCAACTTGATTCTGGAGACGGTGGTATCAGCCGGATGCAAGCACAATCTTCAACAGTCTGAACAGGTTAGGAGGGATCCCCGCACTATTGATGGACCGCATGGGAGGCATGAGATGTGAGCCTAGAGACCATTCAGCTCACCATCAAAGCCAAGTTTTTTATTTCCGACTTTCCCTTCTTCTGAACCCAGTGTTCTCAATCGTCTAGGGGTCCCATAGGGCCCGGAGGACGGACAACCAAGACCCCTGGACTGGACAGGACGGCATAGGTACCCAGTCCTCGTCCTTCATATCCAAAGACCGCCCTTTATAGGGGGCCGGAGTGCCCGACAACCTGGGGCATAATGAACCAGGTATTAGCAGGATGGCTCGTGGACCACAGGCTTAGTATATGGAGGGATGAATTCAGATGTTAACAGGATGCAATATACCCTTAAAGTACTCAAATTATATTCGGTTAAACTTCGCTCCTCTTCTGTTGTCTAGAATCTTTTTTTTCCCCGTTCCCCTACATTAACGAATTTAATGCCATTCATATCCACCAGCTCTATATATTACTTCCACCTATTCTTTCTTTGCTTTGCCAAGTGTCTAATTGTTGAATTCGTTTCATACTGACTTAACTTACTCTTTATTTGCCACGCCACACCCCCGATCGGAGTGTTTCTAACAGTTTCCCCACCCCCAGCCAATTGTGATCATGGTTTTCTTTGGATTCTCTTTTTAAGCTTCTTCTGTGCCATATTTTGCATTTTTCCAACATTGTTGTTGATACTTTATGTTGCTATTATTATCTCCAGAACCTTGCTTCCAACTATATTATCTCATCTGGATATTCTCTGTTAGTCAGAAAATAAAATAAAAAACTGAGACATTAACAAGGATAGAGTGGAGGACTGTGGGGCCCGACGTCTGCTATAACCAATCGCAGGGAGAATTGCCTAGAGGACAGGACAGGACGACAAAATGTCGTCCGTCCCCGTCCAGCCTTAAGACGGACTGACTGCCCGCGGAGAACACCGTCTGCGCTCTTCTGGAGTAGAGCCAATAGTATTTATACACGGAGTCAGGTGAGAAGGCGATGGACGTTAGGCCTCCATTGGGCGAAGCCGGTATAGTATCCATCTTGTAGGAAGTCTTTGAGCCTTTTGTCAGTCTGTTCCTCCACTTGGAGCTCCTCACCGCCCGTCCACAGTAATTTCGAAAAAGTGTTATGGCTTCTCCTGCCACCTCCCTCCCTGTGCAAACTCTTCCTTACCTCCCGTGCCTCTCATTAGCCACGGCTTACACGGGCAAACCAGAATAAGAAGGTTTATTTGGCGTAGATATTTACCACCGGTAGGTTTGAGCTTCAAACTCGCTGCTTGGGGGGTATCAGGAAAAATATCGCAGAGATGTAAAGCTTGCAATGTACTAAATGTAGGATATCGCGCTCTTTCGTGGTGTCCTCCTGACTCTCTTGTGGCCCAGACAGTGTTCGCAGTGGGGCAGTCCGTCCGTCCTGGACTAAGACTAGGACGGACGGCATTTAGTCGTCCCGTCCGGTCATTTCCTCAACGTGCTCGACAGGTAGGAATTAAGGACTAGGACGGACTACGTTGTGTCGCCCCGTCCGGTCTTTTCCTGGACTTGCCCGACACATAAGAGTAGAGGACCATTCACCGACAGCCACCCACCGTCCCCTGCCGTCCCCAGCAGTCCACCGCTGCCCCCGACCATCCCCTCTGATCCCCGGTCGTCCTACGTAGTCACCTGCCGTCCCCTACTAGAAGTTGTCTCAGATCGTGGAGCTCATCGTCCTTCCTCATGACGGCCGTCCTAGGAGTTCAAGGACCAGGACGGACTATATTTTGCCGTCTCATCCCGTCCCAGGCTCTTAGTAGTCCCTCCGTAGAGCCCTATGGGGGTCCCAGAGGTTGAGAACACTGGGCCCAGAAAAGCTCAATCATTTGTGCTCTCATCCCTGGTGTCTGTTCTCTGCGAGCGTGTTTGTTCGCGGGCCGAGATATGGGGCAATTGCAGCAGGGGTGCCGATGTCAGGGCTGGTAGGGCGAGGGACCACCTCGACAGATGATTTCTGCCCCAGTGATTGCCTGTGGGAAAAGTATCCCCGCGGGTGTGAGGGTCTTGTTCTGTTATTATAGGACAATTATCAGTGTTTTCCCAAATCGGGAAGTGTCAAGAGTTATGACAACTGGTATCGTGCCCAATTTTCATCGTGGGAGAATAGACCTAATGTTGGAATCAGGTCAATAACCCCGAATGCTCCATACCTGGACCCAAACAGCCGACGCGCACAAGAGTGCTATATAAGCAAGAGCTCTGCCCGCTGTTCCCTTTCTTCCTCTCAGACAACCATTCTCCCAGAGAAAAGCCGCACAAACATCTCGCCGTGGCAGATCCACACTGCGCAAAAGCCATTCTATCGCCCTCCGCCCCCTACCCTCTCAACACAAATCACTCTACTCACTAGCTGCAATGTCGTTGGACATCGATAGCAGTGGGGACTCAAACATCAGCGTTCCGAGAGGCAATGATAGCGGGCCCCATCTGGCGCCAATTAGAGGAACTCTCTGCACCCTTAACAGTGCCCCCCCAACTAACGAAGCCCATGCGATCATGGCCTCTAGTCAAAATCTCGAGCGGCACGGTGCACGGTGTAACTACACCATTGGTGCTTCTGTTATCAGGAACGAAGAAGAGAGGGAGGACGGTCGTCATGAGACAGAACCCGAAGAGACAGAACACCTAGGGGATTTCGACCATGGAGATAGCGATAGCGAATCTACCATGGGAGAGTTTGGCCTCAAATACGATGAGGACAGCGATGCAGCGCGCGGATCCAATGAGAGTGATGAGGTACCTGAGTACTCTGCGTCAAATGAAGGGTTATCGGAGCCCATGCGCGCGAGGAATAGATCTGGGCCACCTATTCCACCCCCAGTCCCTGTCAGGCCTGGGCAACTCTTTTTTAGCAATCAGATATGGACCAGATTGAACGTCGAACAACAGCTGAAGCTAGGGGCATTGAAGGTGGGCTCAAAGAACAAATCGTTCAAGACCAGGCCTTGGCTAGTGGTTGAGAGGTCAAACAGAGTAGATTCAGACGGACAACAAATGCTGTGGGTCATGTAAGCTTTTGCAGCTCTATTTTGAATGGATTTCCTCCTGACGCCTCTAGGTGCTGTACTACGCGCAACCGGAACGGCTGGGAGGGTGTGAGCTATAGGGATTCAAAAAGCTTTATTCCCATGGCGCCAACACCCTCTAGATTTGGCAGGCCTGTCTTGCCTCTCGTCACTGACGATCGTGACGTGTTTTTGGGGGGCTCTCTGCTCTTCCTGGAGGTGTTCAAGGAGATCAAGGCGTCTTTGCTGGGAGATTATATTGGCCATATCTCAGACGCGTCAGTGAGCATTGTCAATAGGGAGCAACTTAGGATCGCAGAGGAACGGCGCAAGAAGGAGGAATTTCGTGCTTTACACCCTAGCGCATTCAAAACCAGAGGGGGCAACAGCAGAAGGGGCAGCGATCGCTACAGGGCCAGAGCAGAGACAAATCCTGACCAATACGATAACAATGGCAGTGGGCATTCAGGACACCAATATGACCGAGATGGATGGATTGCTCCGAATCACATCCCACCATTCCACCTACCCGCCTGCACAAACGAGACTCAGGTATCGCCTCCGCTCAATCCTAAAGCGCCAGCTTTCCGAGATCCAGCCAACCAGGGACACAGAGACAACCGCAGGAGATCTTTCAATGGCCGTGTTATTCAGAATCGTCAGCAGCATAACGCGGGGCACCAAAACTATCCTGGTTTCAACCAAATGCCCGACGGTGGGAACCACTATCCCCAAACCTACGGTGGCCGCAGCAATTATGGCAATCCGGGCGGTTACGGTGGCCACGCCACCTACGGCGGACATGAAAATAATGGCCATCATGGTCTCCGCCATCGCAGCCGCAGTGACAGTTTCAATTGCTACAATAGCCCCCAGCAAAATTACAGAGGTCATCAGAATCCTGGATACTCTCCTAACATTGCCCGCGATTTGGTACACACAAGCGCATCGGCAAGAGGTGGAAACCAGACCACATCACCTGTATCCGGTCCCCCTGGTCACTGGAGTGGTAATGTAGGAAATAGTGGATGGGCATCTTGCGGCTTTACCCCCGGCGGACCAGGTTGGACGACGACACCCCGCCGCGATCATAGACGTTGAAGTATTCACTATCGAATCTAACCAAACGTATCTAGGGCTGACATTTCTATAGCTCTCGTCCAACACCCGTCATGAAGGGAAAGTACGAGTGTGGACAAAGCATGGCCCTAATGCAAACGCGATTGTTTTTGTTTATTTCATTTTTTTCTCTTCTCACTGAATGTTTGAGTTAATGGGTTTATGGAGCGATGGATCGGGTCCGAGGCCGGTGAGAGGGGGATTTTCTTATTTCTCATCTCTACTTTTCCTTAACCCGCCTCTCTAGGTGGCTGTCACTATTGACTTCCGCAAAGGCCTCCATTTCACGGATCGTGTTTACACACGACGATAAAACTTCTTTGGGTTATACATGTCATATACCTATCTGCGAGGGCCAATAAAATTCTGATAGTAGTTGGTGGGCAGTTGTTGGCGTTGTGTTAGTTTTTGACGGGTCTTATTTCGTTTTTAACAAATTTGCCTTGTTTGTCGAGTTGTTTGTTTTACCCTTGTTTATTGTCTATTTAGTTGCTCTTGATTTGGGTTGCAGTTGACAGGGAAGACTTCCAGGGGTGCTGGGATCCGGAATTATATACATGACCGGAGAGGCCGAGCATAACGGAGAGGTCTGAGAGAACCAGGGACATAAATTCTTTAGGGTGGTGGATTCAAGCTTATTATGAGAACAGGACTCTTGGAGTCTACTACAGCACCCCGAAGGCGTGGGCACTGATGTCCATTTTGAGTTTAACTAACAAGGTGTATTTCATAGTGACCTCTCTCCAGTTTCTATACGAGTCTTATTTCTATTATGATATTATTATTACTATTTTTGCGAGGCGATGTCGAACACTAACGAATTCACTTTAGGTAAAATAGGGGATCTAATTGCTCATCTTAGGCATGCGGATTATTGCTCATTCACCTCCTGGTTCGGGACATCCTTGGGGCTGGTGTGACTTTAAAATGCACGGAACAGACCGTTCCACAATAGAAAAATGCGTTTGTCGAAACATAGCCTATCAGACCCGATTGGTTTGACTTTTCTGGCAAGATCCTATCGTCTCATGCCATCAGTGAACTCATGCGGTCACTCCGACTCATGGTCCGATGTTTTCAATATTATATTATCCTAGAACCGCCGAACCGGAATACTCTTAGACTGTTCCTGTTTCGATACAAATTGTCGATCGACTATGATCGATACAGCAGAAGTTCTTACTAAGGGTCTGGTTGGACGGGATAATTTATACGAGCCAATTGCTAGCGGGGCTTAGATAACCGCTGGGTCGACAGCCGGAGCTACTAGAGCCTGAGGATTCTGCGGATATCAACGCATGGCTATGTCTGAGAGGTGTTTTACCTGTTGTATCTATGACTCTCAAGAGGCAACTAATTTAGTTATCGCCAAACACTTTGCGTATCCAATTGGATGATATCGCAACAGGTTCTATCCTGTAGATCCTTGAGCGTGCGGGTTGACAGGAGCAGCAGCGGCATGGGTTCTCGTAAGCCTCATCTCCCGTCTGCCCTAGGCAAGCCTTAAGTGTTTTTCTGAACCCGGACACAGCCGGCTTCCGTTTGCTTCACTACATGGTGCGTACTTGCTCTACATTAGCACTCCTGCTGCCTTCTACAGCACTTGCAATTTCTCATCTGACTTTCAGCCTAGACCTCCCTCAATGGCAAGTTTTGACAGCGACAAGCAAATGTCCAAAACTCTTTTTTTTAATTTTGATTTTCTAATCTAATTGAGACTGGATAATTTCCCGAAGACAGAAGGACAAAAAACTAGAGCACACTTGATGTTAGATGACCAGGAATTCACTGCGGACAAGCAAACGCTGCCCTCTTAATTCCAAATGGCCCTCATTTGGGATCTACTTCCAGCTTGGCGAAAGGAAATTCCTCGCAAACCAACTAAGCGCTGGGATCCTACTTCCTCAAACGCGACCTAACTCTTCTCCAAAGGGCCTTCACCTTCGCGCGCTTGCTCTCCCCCGGGCTTTTCTTGAACACGCCAATAACAGACATGATGCTGAGAGTCCTCTTCAATGACGGGCCAGGCTTTGGATCTGGGGTACGGAGAGTGTCGGCAAAGGTGACCCTGCGCACACCTGATTCAGTTCCAGCCATAATCCGAGTTCCTGGGTGCGCGCGGCCGTCCTCAGAAGAACTACGATCAGGGGGCCCAAACAACATTTCAGTGAATCTAGATCCTCGTGGGCCACTGGTGCTTACTGCATCACTCTCACTAACATGGCTCAAAGCGGTGGCAGCAGGAGAAATCGGAGCAAGTCTACGGTCCGGATCAGAGACAGCCCGGCGACGTTGAATGGTGTCCACGCGCATTCTGTTGCCCAGCTCGTTATAAAATGCATCCATTCTTCCGATTGCTTCCTCAATAAATTTACGAGCCCCGCCGGTATCCTCACTGCAAATCCCATCGAAGTAGGCATCTGCAACACCCGCCATCTCCGGAGTGAGATACTCCTCAGCCTGGGAGGCGATTTGGGGGATCAGAGATATGGTGCGTTCGATCTTAGCTTTGCTTGCTTCGGCCTGACGGTAGAGAGGGTAGAGGGTCAAGTGGGCGTTGAGGCCGTTCCGAGTGCCATCTTCGAAAATTTCGGGCTGTTTACCCGCACGTTTTCCGGTAGATGAAGAACCAGGATTCATTCCGAACTCGCGTTGTTGCTTCTTATGTGGAATCCTGGTCCACAGTGGTGCTATGTCTGCTTGCTCTCCAGGCCATGATCCGAGCTATCATTATATAGAAAGCGGCTGCCATGGCGGTTGAAACTGCTAAATTATCCGGAGTTGAGTGATTTGAGTCCTGTTCAAGGTCATCCTACAAGGAGCTATGAAGAATATTCCCCTATTTCAGTTTTCCGGAAGGGAAACAAAACTGTTTCAAAATATGATCAGGATGCCAACCTGCTGGTCAGCTATGAAAGAAATCTCCAAATCCCCCAAGAATCCTGCGCTTAGTGCTCGTGTATGAACAGAAGCGAGGGGTCTGCAGGGTTCTGACCCTGGTCGGGTGAGTCATTTGATCAGTCTTTGATACTTCAAGAGTGAGCTTCTAGGCACAGCGATGCTTGAAAAGAGGAGGGAGCGGAGGACTCTTCAGGACTTAGGCATGCTGACATCTGAGATAATTTGGTGCCTTGGTCCTCGAAAATGGAAGCAAGGATTCCAAGATATATTGGGTTGAATTCCAAGATGCTGTATCTGAAGGGTGATATAGTGTTTAAGAGGGGTTTAAAGTATCATTTTCTCTCAGAAAAAATGAACCCTTGTGTTTATTTTGTGGTAACTTCTTCAGATAGTTAATACTCCGGAATTAGCTTGATTCCAAGCGAGAGACTCAAGATCCGATCGCTTTAGGGAAGAGAGAGTGTTGAGTCGTGTTGAAAATATACTCTCTTACATATCTACTATTTTTGATAGCCTCTATGGTATGGAGATGGTTCAAGGTATGAGCCGGAGGAGTATTAAGGCGGCAGGGATTCAACAAAGAGGTTGCAATACCCAGATAGGGTAAACATTTAACCCGATTGGATACATTATGGGTTGAGGACCCCTGAATCGGAAGTGAAATATATATAGACGCACATCGCGGCGCATAAGGCAACGAACACCAATACAACTCCACTCCCGTGTTCTCTTTCAACTAAGATCTCAACTTTGTTTCCCGCAAAGGTCGCCATTCCACCACCATCGCATAGCCTGTCGTTCCGCAGATCATCGAAAAAAGAAAAATGGGAGCCTAGCCAGACATGATCTCCCGGGAAGCAACGGTATCTGCATGATACCGTTCGTTAAGGAGATCCCCCGAACGTCTCACAACAAGCATCTCGGCTTCATAGCGCCTGGATATCCCAATGAAACCATTTCCCTTGCCGAGACATAATGTCCCCCGGGAATCACAGTTTTTACCGGGGCTTTAGGTTCACTGTAGAAATTACACTTCCGGCAGGAAACTTAGCCCACTGTGTGTGCCCAACACTCCCGCGCCTAGCCGAATGCCACAAGTAGCGCGCCAGGTAGATCCTTCGGAGACCAAAGGGTTGACCTGCACTCCCGTGGTGCTTTCACCAGACGGATCAGCGTTAAAGCCAAAGGGGGCAGTAACGGGCAATTGGAGAAACGACAAACTCCCGATTGAATTCAGTTTCAATCCCCAGGTGCCGAGAGAACGGAGGGCTCCATTACTCTAGCGCAGGGTTGCAAGGAACAATCACCCATATCATGAGCGCCGACGGGAGCACCAGGTCAGAGAATCGCAAGCGAGTGAGCGGTCGTGAAACCTCGGCTAAACCTTCAATCCAATTTATCCTAGTCAAATTGGTCCAGCAAACCGATAGCCTTGCTAATTCCCCTAACACCTACAAAATCAAAATAAGAATGAAAAAAAAAAATAATTCTTAAAAATAATTCTAATGGGCGGCACATCTCCGCTCCTGGCTTTCAGAATGGCCATATGTTTGGGCAAAAATTTTTCAATTTGAATGATAGAATGTTCGAAAACCTTTCGTGTAGTCTAGAAACGAGATTCGAATTCATCAAGCTGCAAAAGCAAACCGGTTAACCCAGGCCGAGGACCTCGTTCATCCACCCACTGATCCAGGTAGATAGCGCACACTCTCTCAACCCTAGAATTGCAGTTTGGGGGGGGGGGTGGGAATATACGGACGGTCAAAGCAAGGAAGTAGAGAGAGGATTTCGGGGGCATTGGCTGGACAGGAAAGGGTTACTGGTGTGGAGAGGGAAATAAGGTTAAGCCGGCCCCGCTCACCGTCTTGGTGCAGGAGGTATGGGTCCGGAAGACTGGCTTCAACACCAACCTTGAAACGAAAAAGTGCGACAATTCGCCATGCAACACCAAGTGTAACGTCCACAAAGCTGACCCCCAGCCACACAGGTTGTACAACCCTAATACAATAAATTTTAAGGGCTGGGAATTTTGTCCCCGCACCCCGATTTCCCCTACCATACAACATCAAACCCCTCATGATTCTCAGTAACCTATTATCTCTGTTATCCTTTTCGTGTATGTTTTTGTATTGCAGGAATATTAATTTGGTGAACATGAAAATACTACTAGTGAACTTTATATATACTGGAGCTATACCATATGGATATAGTATATGGATCTGAAGATTTAAAAAGTTATATTTATACAAGAGATTATTTCAATAGACAGATTTCCAAGTCCTGGATTTAGAGACAGATATCTTGTCTAACATATTCCATATTCATTCTTCATATTTAAAAATTAAAATTTCTTACAATTCATATGTTAGGGATCGAATACAGACATGCCATAGGATTTATATTTAAGATTCAAGTCATACTTGGCATGTAATCAGAACTGCAATTCAGCTTAGAGATTTGGTTTATGATTTGCTTTACTTGTGGTTTTGAGTATCCATTGATGGTCTATTTGTTTTACTTGTGGCTTTGAGTATCCAGTGATGGTCTATTTGTTTTACTTGTGGTTTTGAGTATCCATTGATGGTCTATTTGTTTAAGGCCCTGTTTGGCACGCCACCATAAAAAGAAAAGCCATTTTTCGTGAAAATGGCTTTAAAGCTATTTTAAAAAAATGGCATTTTTCAGAAATAATTGTGTTTGGCAATGGTTTCTCATTTTTCAGGGTTTAGATCTATAATCAAAAAGAAATACTAAATAATAGGATTAAATTAAGTAAACCTAAATTCTAGCACTCTTTTTATTGTTATGACAAATCAGTGGCTTAGCCAAATTTTCTAAACGTATATATTGAAAATATTTAACTCAGTTAAACTAGTATAATACACCTATTCCTTAAGTACCTTATGCTCATAGAGATATCTTGACCATCAGATATCTTCTTAGACATGCTCTGGCATGCCTACCTAGTCTATCACTTAACCTTAGAGTC